ATGGGGTCACAAAGAGTCGGACACGACTTAATGACTGAACAACAACAACAACAACAACAACAAAAAGAGAGATGCTATACTGAAGTCTCTTCCTAACAAACTTCAGTTTACTGCATATTTAATAATATTTCTAAATAATTATCTCATGCTTGATTTCCACTGTTATAACTCAGATTTTTTAACTGTAACACTTAGCTTTATTATGGGTCACAGATCCAGACAAAAATTTTATGGATCACCACAATTGAAACAGACCAACTGAAGAACAGAACTTGATCATAAGGAACCAAAGCAATAGAAATTAAAGAGCACATTTGCAGAGAAATCCAAGGGAATGAACTTGATATTATTACTGAAACCATCAGGACTAAAATCAGTTAAAGAAGGAATTAAAGCAGGACATTGTTGATGTCTACATTCAATCATCCAACCAATGAGATGATGTGAATGATACTTTTCAAAAGTAAACTATAGACCTTTCAAAGAGGTATGAATAGCTGATACAGGTTTTTAATTACCCTGATATCTTATGAAGGGAAATACTGTAAAACACTGTCTTATCAGGAAATTTCTATCGTGTCTTGTTGACAACTTTCTCCTTCAGAAGGTTGGCATAAAAGGACCAGCTTTCTTTTGACTTGTTGTTAATCAATATAAAAATTTAACAGATAAAATGGAAATAGTGACAACTTTAGAGAAAATGACCACATAAAGCTAGAATTCTTGATATAAATGGAACTAAAACTGAAGGTAGACATAGTCTGGAAAACAGAATTTAATAAACTTGGGATAGTAATATGCAACAGGAACAGCTAAAGATAAAAGGAGTCCAAGATAGGTAAGAATTCCTGAAAAAAAGAAAATACTAAAAGCACAACCAGAAACCATTCCAATAAAAAGGAAAATTTTAAGACAGAAAAACCAGTCAATGTGACTGCACAAAAAGCTTAGTAAAACTGAAAATGACAAATGACAAACATGACATGAAAAGAGGAACACCAAAGAATTTATTTATAATACCTGGGAGTTAGCCTGGATTTGTGAGAAGAGATCAGGTAAATCAAAGTTCAGAATAAGCTGAAGTTAGCAAAAGATGCTAGGAACAACTTTAAAAGATTCCTTCATGCATATTCAAAATAAAAATATGTAACAAAAGGCAATAATAAAAACAATTAGGTTGCATTTTGTCCACAGCATTTCACTGTCTACTACATATGAGAGTAAACTAGTCTGAGAAAACTTATTCTTGACAAATCCATGTTGCACTCTGGTAATTACTGCATTATTTCCAGATGCTTATAAAAAGATATCTGTATTAGAATCTTCCCAGGTATCAGTGTCAGACAGACCAGTTTGTTCCTCCACAAACCTTTATTTTTTAAGATAGAGACATTATTTTCTAGTCATCCAACATTTCAAGCATTCTCCAGAATTTCTTAAATGCAATAAATACTCAGCCACAGTATCAGTAGTTTCTTTCAGTGTTCCAAGATCAATTTATTTATCCTCAATATCTTAACTAATTTAAAGTAAATAATTATTTCCTGACCATTTCTCTATCAGTCTCAAGCTGCAATCATACTTCTTCATCTTGTTCTTTGAAACTCTAATGAAACTAAAGCATTCTTGTTAGGAAAGAGAGAGAACTGGAACAGTTCCATCATTTCTTTGTTACCCATTAGCACTGCAGCATCTGCAGACCAATGCCTTTCCTTTTATTTTGAACATACCATCTCTGCAACTATGGGCTAAGTGTGTATATCCTTCCTTAGTGTGTCCTTTCTTAGTTTTCAAATTGTCACTAGGTATTCTGTGTAGTCACTTGCCTTGTTCTTGTGTCTCTTCTTTTTTGATTGGAAGTGTTTTTAAATGCGCTTTCCACTCCTTCTTTGCTAAGGATCCCAACCATCTTGACCTTTTCTCTTTAGCTTCTCCTGCAATGCTTCAATATACTCCATTCAAGAGAGCTTGATTATACCAGTCAAGTTGTATTTTTCTTTTTACATGAAGAGTTCAAAGCTCATCTTGTTTCTTTTTCATACTCTGAACAGTAGCATATAAACAGCAAACCTGTTGTTGAATGCCAGTTGCCTCCCCATATAAAAAACTGCTTTCTGCACATTTAGACTTGCAAGATTGATGCCAGCCCTCTAAGGTAGACCACACTAAGAAAGAGACACCGTGTAGACCTAAAGCTACTTTTATTAGTACAGCAATAGTAACAGAATCTTGCAAGTCTGACTGTGGTTCCTTTCCTCCTTCTTTTATCTTCATGTGAATTGGGGGGCAGGGGGTACTGTCTGAGGCAGTTTCATAAACCACTTTCTTGGTCTGGGCTCAAGCCTCATTTATCTGATTGTTGCCTTGGCAACGAATTTTCCCTCTGTCCTTCAAGACCTCCCTCTATATTATGTTGCAGACTATATACGGGCAGACGCCATGGTTGTCTTCAAATATCGGAAAAGCAGTCTCATGTAGAAGATGAGGTAGACTGTTCAATACTTTCCAAATGACACAGATAATAAACAGTGACTTTAAATTATAGTGAGGCAAAAGAGCATTTCCTAAGAGTAAAAGCTGTTTGCAATGGAACAGACAGCCTCACAAGGTAGTGATCCCTCTTCCATCAATACACTTAACCTAATCATTTGGGGAGGCTGCAATGGTAGTGGTAGAGGTTGGACTAGATGATCTGCAAGTTCATTCCATTCCATTATTCAAGAAGATTAAATGAAAAGACTGAGAAATGGGTCAATTACTCACGTTCATGTTAAACACTGCCACCAATTTCAAGAGTGCTGACATCTCTATTAATTATAAAGAAGTTGTTCTGCAATATTGCCCACATTATAGATTTGTCACAACGGTGTATCTTTTAGAGGTATAAAATAAACATAAATGATTTTATAAATATATTCGAATGGCCTTGCCTAACTAATAATAAAAAAAAGAACTGCTCAAAGAAGTGGTGACTACTTTCATGTTGCAGTTCTGAAGATGAAAATGGTTCAAGTTTGAAACCAGCACAACTAAACTCTATCACGAGGAACAGGTTATTACACTGTTACTAACACCTGCCAGCTCCTCTTAAGGCTTGGAAAAAAAATCTGTCTGGAGAGCCACTGACAAGCTGCATGGATAATTCTGACATAAATCAACTATCTGACTCAGCGTGGTAGCTTCTTAAGAAGGAGCTGTGCAGTTCAAGTGCCAAACGACCATGTACGAAAAAAATTTACTCCACATTTTTGAGGGACAATAGTGAAGAGTGCTCAAGAGTGAAGAATTACTCTCCCTTATTGTACAAACAACAAACTTCTTCCAAATAGGATTGCATTAATAATACTAAAATCCCACACATGCCTATTCACAGGCAACTTACTCCCAGGGAAAGGTATATAAGACTATTTTTTTATTATTATTTTGCTACATTAATCTGCAAAAACATTTCTAATTAAAAAGTACTGCCTTTTAAAAAAGGAGTATTATTTTTACTACTAAAAGCAGGCAGGAAACATAATCTGAAAAGAGGTAGTCTCCCTTATAGCACTGAGAAGGAGATGCCTTTTTTAAGATGTCTCTTATGACACACATACATGCTGTATAAACAAGGGAAATACGCCTCTTCAGAAAGTTTGGGCTACAAACATGTTTCCCAAAAACAGGAAGCATAAACACAAATTATGATTCTATTTAACAATCCTTAGCACTATTTGAAAATATGTTTAATTCTACTGGGTGTATATGATTAATATTTTATATTTCAAAAATAATCTTCATTAAAAAATTAGGCTACTCAGTGTTCTAACTTACTTACTCATGTAATTATTACATTCATTGCCTTGTAAAAATTGCAGTATGAACAATAACCTCAACTACTTCACTCATTAGTAATCAACTAGGAAATTACTTGTCAACTGTGAGAGAGTTTGCTTAGATTATGGATGCAATTAGACGTCACATCATCTTGTCTCCATCAAAACTGAACTGGCTACATATAAAAATGTCCATATATACTACTTCTAAATGTTTCCTTTTATTCCACATTCTCTTGAAACCATCTATGCTGTGGAAAGAGTATTTTCTTTCCAACTGCCCAACATTTTTATCCGTCATTTCTGACATCACTTCTTGACAGGATGCCATATTCTGGAATACAATGCTTCCAAATTACCTTGAGTAGTGAAGTTAAAGAGTGCAGGTTTCTCTCGCCCACTTGGCAGTTTGATGTTTGGGTCCCGTAATTCATCAAAGAAAGAATGTGCACATGCTTCCAGTGGAGTCAGGCGGGCAGTAGGGGTATATTCCAACAGACGGCTACATAGAGCTATTGCTTCTGGTGGAGTGCGGGGTCGGAAGACCTATGGAAAAAAGAGGACAGGCTGTCCATTTTCTTTTACTCTTGCTAATAGACTATGAATCTGAACAATTAAGCTACCCGGAATAGGTATTATTTTGGATTTTTTTAAAAAAAGCTAACATCAGGTCTTTACCAACTGGCTAAGGTAGAGATTCTCATTGGAAAGAACTATATTGAATAAAGTTGAAATTACAAAGCCCCTGATGATATGACTGACATACAGCACAAAGCTGAGGACACTTTGAGAAGAAATGAACAACAACAACAACAACAACAAAAAACGCTTTAAAAACCCAAAGGCATGAAGCTAGTTATGCAGGTGGCCGGGAGAAGAGAAAAAAACAACTAAATGGGATCTTCTGAAGACTTAATGTTATGTAATCCCATTTAAAAAACTGACTTAATCCAAAGCATGGATTTATGTTACCAAACTGGTTCATACCGATTTGTTAATAGTTTTAGTTGATCTTTTAATATTATTTGGCAAGTAATTAATTAAAATACTGTGTATTCTCAAGAAGCAATCATCACTGTTGCACTGCATATTTTCTCAGAGACTCATAGTTTAGCTGCCTTAAACTGTATTTTCACCTATGTGAAATGTGTACTTCAAGCCTTGGGAAGATAAACAATGGTTAAATCCTGAGTATATTGTAAGATAAACTGAGTTCACAAAATGAAAGCAACAGCGCTGACCACATGCAAAATCAAAGGCACAAATACATTTTTCAAAAGGCATATTAACCTCAACCACATGGAAACGGCTTCAGAGTTATCCTAATTTCTAATAAAGACAGGGGGAGAGACTGGGCCTAATTTTATATACTACTACAAAAATGCTGAGTTTTTACAAAGCACTAAAAACTTAGGAGGGCAAGTCCAGAAGTTCAGATCAAAACAGAACAGAATTTAGAGTAAACCAAAAACATAAAAGCAAAATGCTAGTCAGTTTTTAACCACTATTAAATATCCTAAACTAGCGCTGAAGCAAGCCTGCATTTTTAGACAGGGTAACTTTGATGTAACAGGATGATGGGGGGATGGGAGGAGAGTACAACTCTTCCTACTCCAATTCTTCCCTGGAAATGCCTCTCACTCACTCATATACTTAAAACACCTATACCCATAAAGCTTCTTTCTTCTAGTTGTGCTGAAATTTTGACTTGTAGGAGAAAACTGTGTGAAAGGGAAAATGCTCCCAATCCCTTGCACTTACCAATTTCCCTCTGCAAATGGACCTGAAAAAGCAGGATCTGAAATCCTGTGGATGTTGCTTCATCTCTTAGTCTTGCCTTATATAGCTTAAGCTAGGACAGTGATGAGACACACTCAGTTGCTCTCTCTAATTCTTTCATTCCAAGAGGGGCAACTGCTTTATAGACATGATAATTTCCAGATGAAAACAGTATGAGGGGAACTACTGCAATAGCAGCTTCTAGGTAGAAAACACAATAGTAATTGTGCTTGGGCACACATTTTGGAAGAAACTGAATGGGTAAGAGATTGAAAACCAGTCTTATATGTCTAATCATGTATATGAAGAGATGAACAGTGGATGTAGAATTTAACAGCAAAGAAGTCAATGCCAATGCTCTACACTGTTCTTCAGATAGCCAATTTGGGAACTAATTTGGATTTTTATTTTAAAATGCTTTTGTTTTATTAGAAGTATTTGTTTTTTATGGTTGTTAGATAATTTTGAGAGTTGTGTAAAGGATATTGTCATATTATTATTTTGAAAAGCAAATAATTAATCACAATATAAAGTCAGTACAGTGGCAAAACTCTGCTTCCTGCTTTACAGTCTGCTTGCTTGTTTTAAATTGTCCTTAAGAACAGGCAAATTAGAAACACTGCAGAATGTGCAAAGTATTTTTCCACTACAAGCCCGGGGTGAATCTCTCTCTGAAAGAGAGTACAGAAGAGTATGTGGATTGAAGAATCTTCTACTGAGGATGATGCAACTGTTGCTTTTTGAAATAAATCAAAAAGTGAAATCCATAAGACACTGTTTCAAACTCGTGTTGGGAATTTGTGTGACAAAGACCAGCCATTTTTTTTCTCAAGGAAAAAAAACCTCTTAACCAGATAGTAAATTATTCAGAGTGACTTTTCAGTACATGATTACTAGCTTTTGTTTAATCTCCAAATGTATGGAACAAAAGACAATGTATGGAGCATGGATGTGATGGAAGCAAGGATGCTTTATGAGGACAGAAATGAATGGAAGACTGTAGAGAATTAGTTTTAGCTATATTCTCTTCTCTTACCTTATGCCATAAATTTCTTTGGCATAATATTTCTTACACCTTGTTTGTGATCTAGTGTTCACCCTTAAAGAGTGACAGGATGGTCACATGGACAGGTATCTATGTCCAAATATGGATTTCCAAGTGCAATTCAATCCACTGATTACAGCCAGTTTCTTTGTAAAGAAACACCCTTAACCAACTATCCTCCAGAAGTTTTAGATTACAAATCTCATCACCTCTATGATAATTTTTAATTTGGTTTTCTTTATTTCTGGGGAGAGGATTAATATAGCATTCACTTCACTAATAAACTAGCAGAAATTATTCTCATATATCTCCTCATGGTCTGTAATTAAAATTGAAGCAGCCAACATAACTGTAGGCACTCATGAAAGTCAGGGAGTTATTTTTCTTTGGAAACTTGAAATGAGTCATGAGATGTTGGCACAAATGTTGAAAAATATAAACATCACCTCTATTTCCAAGCATATAACTCTACAATGGGAAGAAAATATCTAGCTGACTGGCCCTTGGAGTCTAATAGCTTGGTGTAAACTTTTCCATCCTCATTTTTGTTTCTATTTCCCCAGCAATTAACCTGGTGATATGGAAAAAATATATATATACATACCCGTACTCCTGAGGTGAAATGTCCTGTTCCTGACGAGTCCTAAGGATGATAATGCAGTGAAATAATCCAAACAGGGGGAGTCAATCCAAAAGAATAGTCCAGCAAGGAAAAATATATCCAATATTATAAGAAATCCAAAGTGATGGGGAAATATTAAATGTTTAATACAATTAGAACCTTTAAACATCAGCAGCAAGTCCAAACTCAAAAAAAAAAAATTTTTTTTTCAAAGTTGAGGCATAATATAGAAACATTTTATTTTAATGCATGTTCCAATGCCAGTGATTTTACTAAAAAGTAACAAAAATATGAAATCAAATGTCTATGTAAAAGTAAAATTATATTGAATTTTCAAAACTAAGCTACAGGTCTCCTCCCTATCTTGGAGAGAGATAGACACAGGAAGGAGCATGAGACATGCAATCATGCACAGACTCATTTATTCCTGTTTATTTATCCCAAAAGTGCAAGCTGAAAAGTATTCTGAAACAACACTTGTAAGAGAGAGAAGCATTAAGTTTCTCATTTCTAAGATGACCACTTTAAATGTCTATAAGCTATGCGTACATCAGGCCACCGCGGATTATTCTTCATCTTGGATTGACTTCCCCGCCAATGGATTTTTTAGCATTTAGATATTTAGCTGATATTTCATTAGGATGCTTCAGGAACTGGACATGACACTTCAGGAGTGATGGTAAGATCTTAACTTACTTTCCCCTTTATTGTGGCTTCCTCCCTTACGCCCTCACGGTCATTTAGTAGGTGCAGGGGATTTATGTTTTCCTTTTTTAAGAGCAACTGATGATGACAGAAATACACTGAGTTCTTTAACTCTTCCCACTCCAATCTGTTCTGATGCTTTATTCACCCACTAAGAACTACTTAACAACATACAAACAACCAACATTAAAAGCAAGGGACTGTCACAGTTACAGGTCAAGCAGTCAATAATACAGTTTGCCAACACTTAAGCACAATGGGGCTACCAAAACGAGGGATGTTTTCAGCGTTCTATTGTGCATAGGTGTCAAAGGAATATTGTAAAGTTCACTGTTAGCTGTGAACTGCCCTCACTATTATGTTTTGAAGAGAATAGTTACTGTTTTTCATGTAGTTTTCAGTGAGGGAATTGCTTGCATAAATAATCCGCGGATTAGTTTTTAGTCTGCGGACTAAAATTTAGCACTCGGTCTAAAAGCCGGCCCGTCACAATGAAATCTATTGAAATCTGAAGCGATCTTGACCATGGAAAGGAAAAGCTGACAACACAGAGAATAATGCAAGTGGGCAGACTAACCTTTAGTATGCAGACTAAATACGGCCAAGTAAAATGCACAGGAAAGCCACAAGCAGAAAACTAAAATTAAAGTGACACATGTGAATGCTGCCTAGAACTATTGAAGATGACTTCAATTCTTAGCAAATATATCTTACTGTAATCATAGATATTACTATTTTTAATTGATTTGTTCAGTTTACTTATTAACATAAGTAATATGTTAAATGACATAAAATGCCATGCTGGAAAAAACATATTCATGAATTATGCCATGTAATATGCTCCTGTTCAAAGTTCCAACCTTTTCCAGGATATGCCATTTCATTTTCCTTTGCAGCCATATAGGAATTACCATTTTGTAGCCCCTGAGCATGTTCAATTTGCATTGCACTGTTTTGGAGAGGAGATTCTTATCCCTCCTCACTTATGTTCCATTTCTGCTTAGTTATTCTCACCCCTGCATTGTATCTTTACCTATTTAGTGCATTCAAGCAATACTATACTGTTTTGGGATCTTTTGTTCTCCTCAAAAATAAGAAGCCCCCCCCTTCTTTTGGCTAAAGATTCTTTTTATGGTTCTAGAAACCTTAAGATTTGAAAATATTACTAGCATCTTCTTGTTTTATGGAAAATTGTGTCTCGGCAATAAGTTTATAAGATCACCATAAGGCTTTCTACATGAAACAATGGTCACTTGCATTAATTAAAAACAAAACATCCCGCATAATAATTGTCCATTAATATTTAGGAAGAAAGTTTTATGATATATTCATTATTTTATCTGGACAGAATTTAGCACACTTTATAGTAATTTGGAGGCACAATATCAGTGAGCACTGATAAGATTTTTAAAGTGTCACATTTTCAAAGTTCAGTATAAATTTCTACATTGTCTTGCATGCTCTACCACCTTCCAGCTACGGGCACAGCACTCTGAAGAATATTAAGGAATTTATTTGGCAGTGATAGAAATATTGTACTCGGCATTAGCACCATGCAGATTATTCAAACTGGGTGTTTTTTTGAGCGAAAGAGGACTTCTGGAACGACTCGTGGCATGAAATAGCTGTAGCCACTCAGAGGCTGCTCTTAGAAACATTGCTGGAAAACACTGGCTGCTGCTCTTGTATTGCTTTAGTGGTAAAATACAGTTAACTAAGACTATGAATGAGGCAATGACCCATGATACTGAGAAATATTGCTCTTTTGAACAGACGTGGTGTATTCAAGTGCCGTATGAAAGAACACAGCAGCTACATACCTCCTGAAGACCCTCAAAAGTGAAGAGGAAAAGAAGAGGGCAATGAATCAAGCCATGGAATAAATCACAATGCTGCATATATTCTGCATGAATGGCTAATCCAGCCCCACCTAAAATGTACTGGTCATGGAACCATGTTGGATTCACAATATGGTTGAGGATTCTAGCTTAATAAGGAAAGTGAAGTTTTACAACCATGAGTTCAAAAAGTGCCAAAACGAGATTAGCTAAAGGAAATTCCTTTCTCTTGAAGAAAAAGCTTTGTTTACTGGAATCTATAAAAGTCCACACTGATCTGATTTAAAAAAAAGCAGATGTGGAAGAAATATTTACTATATATTTATTAAAAAAGAAGCCAAAATGAAAATTTTAAGATTTTTTTCCAAACAACTGTGCAACTATGAATACTTGTAGAAAACAAAATATAGCTATTCCAAGAAATAGCTCAATAAAGTTATTGGCAGCCTAATTCTAAATTCAGTTCACAATGTCTTTATTCCTGCCATTGTTATGTTGCATCATTTATTTATTTATTTATTAGATAGTATTGACATATATCTTAAGCCTTTACAGGCAATCATATCTCAGATTCTATATTCTTTCTTTAAGCTATATTTCAATATACACAGTATATAATAAACAAGGCAAGGAATTTTAAATACATTAATGAATTAAAATAACCAAAAATCAGTTATTACAAACTCTTGAATTGGCTATTTGCTGATATAAATATACTTGGAAACTCTTCAAAACTAATTTGATACATTTATTTTGATTTTTTTCTTGGTCTTTTCCCATGGTATATATTTGTTTTCAGTTTGCTCCAACATAATTGCTCGCTACATTCATCAGAACAGAACATTAATTCCTTCCCACTAAAAATCAAAACTCAATTTTATAACAAAAAAGGAATACATTATTAATATACTACATACATTTTTCTGAACCCTAACAAGCAAGAAGAAGAAAACTGTCATTTCACAGAATCAAGCTGAAACTCAGGTATAGCACAGAATATACTAAACTCACTTCACTGGGTCAAGAAACTATTTAAGATAAATTTACAGAAAAATAAAAATCTTACCACTAATTGCTTTTGATTAAGAAAACAAGTTCCCTTCAAGTCCATATAATAACTGAAGGATGGATAACTTTAACAGCTAGATCAAATAAATATACAGTTATGCTATAAATTTGTTAGCTTCCATTTAGTTATTCTTATTTTTCTCTAAAAATATTTTTTCTAAAAATATATTTTTTTCTAAAAAAATTAAACCCCTGTAGTATCTCATATTCTCTCTGATTACATTATCTTAACTCTTCAATATGAAAATGTTTAACCCAAGCAGTTTGCGTTCTCCCACTCCTAATGTTAATAGATATCCTAGTTGTTCTAGTAGTCATCCTCCCAAAGATTAGCTGGCAGAGATGTTGTATTATGTAGAATATAATAATAGAAAAACATTTAGAATTACAAGTTTCTTAGATTTATACTCTGCCTTTCTTCCAGAAGATGGCATACATAGTACTTCAACTTTTAAATGAAGGTTGGAGGGAAGTGTTGTTCTTGATGGACAGACAGGATGTTGGGATGTTTAGGAATACAGACAACTCTTGACAAACAAGACAGAATAACCAAAATGCAAAAAAGAAATAGGAAGAAGAAAAAAGGATATAGCTGTTCAATTCCTTGTTGATTTCTGCAAGACTCTGTTCAAGAGGGGAATGGAAAGAAAGAATGGAAAGAAAGAATAGAATCTGTTCTGGCTTAAAAAGTGGGAGCAAAAGATTATGGATCCATCCTATGCAAACAGAACAATCCTGGCTTTGCCCCAATGGGACATGGTGAGGACCATCATGAAGGGCACGGTTTCTATTCACAGGTGACCATCTTACTACAGCCGAGGTAGCTAGTAATGTGGAGTTGGAGAATGATGTGAGCTTTGACGCCTTCAAGAGAAAGGATCTTGTGCACAAATACATGGAACACACAAAGTCACTAATGGGAAAAAGGAAGATCCCCTGATAGAACTTACTGTTATTCCTACAAAAGGGTTAACCACAAAAAGACTTCTCATAGTTGACCCAAAGATCAAGATGCTATTGAAAGAGAAAGATCTGAAATATACAGCTCTACAAGAGGGTATGCAGGAAGAAATTATTTCTCTAGGTAAAGAAGCAGAATGATGCCTTGGAGGCAGTGGAAGCAATGACAGGAAAAAACTAGGAAACAGGAAAAAACTATACTAGGAAAAAAATGATAAACTGTCAAATGGTAAAAGGAAGAAATGGTATATAGAGCCATCTGCTATAAAACAATGGGATCTATGATGTTAGAGTACAGTACTTTGGTTAAATAAGGAATAAAGCAGGGGCCTAGGGCTTGACCACTCCCTTATCAGCAATATTGATTGGAACCAGCCTTGGAGGAGGAGGAGGAGAACCACAGCAAAATGGTGCCTCCCACTCCCAACCCCCTCAGCTGGTCCTGAAAAA